AACATGGTTCACGCTCTCAAGGTGCTCTGCTTCAGATTCCGACATGCCCCAAAAGGGTTGGCCAGAGCTGATTCCACGCGCCGATCGCAAGGACTTGAGGCGTTTTGCCGAGGTGAAGTCTGGATCGTACGACAAAGTCCAGTGGCCCTCGACGATCGCCTTAAACAGTGCGCCCGCTGGCAGGGGTTTCGTCAAAGCGTCTGCCAGCTGTGCCTCCGAATGGACCCACCTCACAGTGGTCTTGTTCAAATCGATGGATTCCAAAAGGCACAAAATCTCTAGTGCGGAAAACTTGTCTCGGAGGCCAAGTCCGGAAGAATTCAAATCCTTCTTCATCAGAACATCGTACAAGGCTTTGGCGTCGATCACGACGCAGCCAGGGACTTGGCTCACTGCCTCATGAGACACCTTCAAATTCACACAAAAACCGCAAAGCTCAGCCCAAGCCAACCTACAAAACATCAGCTCCTGGTCGCATTCTGCGAGAGCTTGGGCCTCAGCAGCCAGGGAACTTCTGGCTTTCCTCTGAAGGCGGGCTGACCTCCAGGACACGAAAGTGAGAGGTGACCGCTTTCCGTCAAGCATGCTGGGGCTCGTCATGGCGATGATGTAGCCGCCCGTCGAACCAAGGTCTCGCCGATTGGCAAGTGCAGCATCGCTCCATCCTATGAAGCAGACCTCCTTGGGGTCGTTGAGTCCCAGCTGGTTGATGCGAGTCGAAACGTGTCTCTGGTGGAATGCCTCTCTTGCCAACTTGTTGGCTGCCTTCAGGGTACCGACCGTTGCATGGCTAATCTCGCTCTGCAACTGTCCCAGCCTAGCCGCCTGAAGTGGCGTGGTTTGGTGAGTTCGCCACTGAAGAGCTCCAAGGATTCCCCTCAACTGTGTCAGTTCATCTGGGGTGACTGCCTCATGGTCCGGTCGTGCACGGAACTGAATCTGCTCAATGGATTCGATGAACTTTGAGTGGTCGAGGGTCGTGGAAAAATCATGCTCCTCTTTCAGCTGAATGCCACAGTGGGTGTACGCATTGCACTCCCAAGGGGACCAGCGAAAACTCTGGTAAAAAGAGGTCACAGCATCGGTCCAAGCACTGCTCTGCTCATCGCCAGCCACCAGAAAATCGTCCACGTGGCTGCACACGAAACCCAGGGTGTTCCTACTTCCATCCTCTTCTTCTTGGAAAAACAACCACAAACAGGGATCGGTTTTTGACTGAACAAAGCCAAGGCGCAGCAAGGTGTCTCGCACCTTTTGGAACCAAGATGCTGGGGCATTGACCAAGCCATAGCATGACTTGACCACTTGGACAGCATGTCCACGTGGTACACCGAGGGCGTCCGCAAGTTCGTCCACCGGTATTGCGAACAAATCCCTCTTTTCTTCCACGGCATCGCCCTGGAGGAAAGCGCTCTTCACGTCTCCCTTGAGGGTGCGCCAACCACGGATGCTCGCCAGCTGAAGACATAACTGTCGAGTTCTCCTTGTCATAGTAGGAGCGGCTGACTGGATGCTCTGAAGATCGGGGTCTTCATAGCCAATCAGGACGATTCTGCCCTTGGCAGCTCCTGTGTCCTTGTACGTCAGGACCCAGCGCATCCGGATGAGCCGATTTCGAGGCACCGGCCCAATGGCGGCCTTCACTGCGGCGGCTTGAAGCCATTGAGAAACCTCAGCTTCCTTGGCGATCTTGAACTTGGCTTTCTCCTGCTCATCCAAAAGATGCCATTTCACTTCAGCTCCTTTGACCTTTTTGATGAAAAAGTTCTCGGGGCTTCGCTTCATTCGCCTGAGTTCAGACGATGTGTGAGGCACGGGCAGCTCAATGCAGCAAGCAAGGTTACCAATCTGCACGCTGCCGTTGGAGGTGAAGAATGAAGTCGCCAGCAGCACATCGTCGGTGTCAGCTGCCAAATGCTTTCGCTGCTTTTCGAACAAAGGCTGCTCAAAAAGTTCGGACAAAGGTCGGCCAGCTCCGCGCGACGCCATGGCATCCGGCTCATAGCCAGGATCTCGCAAAAGCCGGCTAATATCTACCCTGGGGGACTGAAGATCACTACGGTCTACATCCCTAGCTACCGACTCTAGCTTAGGCACTTTCTTCTCTCTTTCTTTTGGTGCCTCTGATGAACTGGCTCCACGGTGTGCCTCTTCACCGCCAGACATCTCGCTCCTAATCTTGTTTGAGGTCTTATTTGGGACATCTTCTCGGGTCCCTCGGACATCTTCTGGGGTCCGCAACACCGGGGTCCTAGGAACGGAAGAACTTCGCCGGGTAGTCGTGGGTGTAGCCGGAACAGGTGTCATTGGTGCCCTGCCCAACGATTGGGAGCGTCGAGTCGCTCTCTGAGGTCCCTTTGCAGTGACGTCCTCAGGGAACATTTGGTCGTCCAAAATTTCATATTCGCCCTTCAAAATGTCCCGGGCGAGGGAATGGAACGTCCACACAGCTGTGGGGGCGCTCATGCCTTCCGCAATGACCTTCTCGCGAGCCGAGGCGTGTCTCAGCTGAGAGGGTGAGCACCGCTTCAGTCTCCCTTGGGAAACTATCCAAACAATGTTGCTCGGTTTGCGCTGTGTGCCAAAACTGTCAGTGCGGGTCTCACTAGCCAAGACACGTGCAGGACCGTACCACCTCCAGAGTTTGAAAGGCATCCTCATCAGTGCTTGAGACTGTGCCGGCGGCTTGATCCTCTTGAAATAGACTAGATCTCCCGGCAAGAAGATCTGCTCTTTCCTTGTCTTGGAGTTGGACGCTCGAGAGATCAACTCGTGAGCTTGAGCCTGCAGGAAGGATTGTTGGGCCTTCACGCGCAAACGGAGGTTCTGCATCATGCTCGAGCCAGGAACTGCTGATGAGGTCCACCACGGATCGTCATGTCCGCGGTCATGCATCCGTCCGGTCAAAGTGGGCTGTCGTCCGAAGGCCCACTGGTAGGGGGAGTAGCCCCCGATGCGCTCCATGGAGTTGTGGGTGCAACATGCAGCAATCACAGCCTCTTTCACACTGTGGTCTCCGCCTTGAAGGATCTGGCGGATAGTGCTCTTCAAAGTTGAGATTGCCCGCTCCACCAAACCAATTTGACCATGGTCTTCAGCTGCGCAAAACAAAAGCTCCAGGCCCCTCTCGCTACACCACTGCCCCAAAAGGGTTGACCGGAAGGCTCCTTCAGCGTCCATCCGCACCTTGGCCGGCATGCCATAGTGCAAAAACCACGTGCCTAAACCATCCATGACTTCTTGTGCTGTGGCATTGCGGCTTTCCTCAGGGTCATGTGAAAACAAATGGTGAGCGCAAACCAATCTCGACGCTTCATCCATCATCACCATGTAGTGGTGGGTCGCACCGTCAGCGGTGAACTGCATGTTGTCCACCACCAAAACTTCCCACAAGGTGTCACTCTTCTCGAGGGTGGCCGCGGCGTGCAAAGGTGCGGCTCTCAGCTCTTGACATTCGCTGCAATGGTGTTGTGAGGCCATTTGGATGATCTCAGGGTGAGCACCTCGATGTCGAAGAACTCCTGCCAGGGCTGCATTGGAAGGATGACCCGTCTTTTTGCGCAGCCTGTCCACCAACTTGCCTGCCTGCTTCTTCTCATCTTCTGAAAGCAGACGGACGCTCTTCTTCTTCTCCTCCAGGTCCTCCAAATCCTTGGTGTCGAAGATCGGGTACGCCGAGGGGAAGACGTTGAAGTTCTTTCCGCAAGCCATCATCTCCACGACGGACTTGTAGATGACATTGCACATGCTCTGTGGATAAAACCCGGAGTCGCGGGCCGTCTTTCCTCCGAGGCACTCTTCATGTTGTTCATGGCCTGGACAAAGTCGATGAAGCGCTCCAGCCAGGGTCGAGGATGTCGTGCGAATCCTCCAAGGCTTCTTCACTGGTAGGCCCTTTGGGCCCTTCAGGCCATGTGCGCAACCATCAACTCGTGCCCCAAAGTCGGAGCCCGATGCAGCCAGCTTCTCAAAGAAAGCTCGAACGCGAGGCAGGGTCCACCCACGGTTGTTCACGGGCCATTCCCAAGCAACTTCACCACCACGAGTGATCTGGTGCTCAGCGGCTTCAATTCCATGGTGGATCAACTTCTTGGCCCGCTTCTTTCGTTCCAAGCTCTTTGCCAAGCTCTCTGGGGTGCTTTCGTTGAAGAGCTCCTGGATGGGCGAGTAGGGACCGCATGGCAAAGAGATCCACAAAACCTTCGGTTTCCACCGATCTATCATCTGAAGCACTTCGTGAAGTCCCTTCTTGTGGCTGAAGTCAATGGCCGGCAGGCCAATACGAATAGCTTGCTTGCCATGATCCAGAAAGGTCTGCGTCAGTCGTGAGTCAGGAGGGCAACATAGCTCCATCAAAGAGATCTCGAAATTCTCCTCAGGGAACTGCTCCATAGCACTGTAGGCCTCGGCAAGGAACTCCGTGGCCTGGTACTGCAAACGACTCTTCTGCTCATCAGTCAGGATGTTGGTCACGGGTTCGAAGTCCTTGTACTCCTCAGTATCCAGGATCGTTTCATAGGGCTCAGTCAGGTTGAAGTCCGTGCCATTCACGACGTCGGAGGTGAAGACACCTGGGACCAGCCCTCGCTCGATTCCTGAGATTCCGCTGCCTTCTCGTTCTCGCGCTTCACGGCCTTCTTGCTCTCTTCGCTGAGAGACTGGTAGGTCTGAGGACTGGTGCGAGGACTTTCTCCGGGGCGAGGCTTCGGCTTCAAAGCACTCTTCTCGTTCTCCAGCTGCTGCAGTCGTCGGCGCATGGACTCTTCGGCTCCGATCAGGCCCACAGCCTTGGTGTTCAGCATCTCGCGAGCCGGAGGGTGGTCTTCCACAGCCGTGCCAACCTGCTGAACCACCGTCTCGACGTCCTTGGGGAGTGGACCTGCCTGTCGGAAGGTGCCTTTGGCGCCGAACGTGGGGATGTACTCCAGCCTCAACCGGCACTTCTGGCACACGCTCCAACGACCGTGTCCATTGCGCCCGCTCAGACTGCCTCTTCCTTCCGGCATCTTCTGATGATTTCCCCAACAGGGGAAGCCCTGAGTGCGAGGATCTCGGGGATCTGGTCCGGTCATCCTCTCGTAGTCGTACTTCTCGGAGCTGGGCACTCGGGTCTTGGCCTTGGAAGATTTGGCCTTTGCTTTCTCCTTGGTCACCGAAGTCGAGGTCGAGGTCGTAGTAGAGGGTGTTGACGGCGCCACCATCGGTTTCTCCTCTGCATCCTTGGGCAGGTAGCCCTGAGTCTTCTGCATGGCTGGTAGTCGCAGGAGGGGATAGAACCGAGGTGGCAAGAGCAATCGCGACAGCAGTCGCTCCAACTCTCATGCTTGGGCTTGAGCCGGAAGGATCATCATGTTCGAGGCATTCAGGTTGAACTGCTGGAGGAACAAATGAGTGTGACTGATGTACATGTTGAACTGCATACTGCTCTTCAGTCAAAAGCTCTTCATCTTGGGATTCGGAATCTTGAGGGCCTACAAATGACGGTTCCTGAAAAAACATCGACTGGCTTGACTTGGAAGGCTCCATGTACTCCGAGGCGGTCATCAGTGAACCCTTCAGCGAGTGTCCGGCATCTTGTTGATACCAATCACTAGTCAAGTCTAAAAGGAGGTGCTCATTTGAGCTTCGCTTCAACTGAATTGGCCGGTCAGACACATTCTTGAGGTGCATGGTGTTGGTCGCCATGTCAATCACAGCACCGAGCTTCCGCAAAGTGCGGACGCTCAAAAGGACTGGCACTCCTGGTGCATCAATGGCGTGAAGCCCCAAAGAAATCTGCTGACCATCGAGGATTTGTGGTATCTCCACAAAAGAAGTTGCCCTTTGTGATTCACCGTTCCCAAAACGGAACTTCTTTCTCTGCTCTCGGACCTGGATGTCTTCTGGTCCAAATTTCTTTGCTCGCAAAGCCATGACTTGCTCCAGAGCCTCTAGTGAAGCCAAAGTGTCCGTGGCTCCGGTGTCAATGACAGCGTGTCCAGGATACTCCACGGCGATGGTCGCCAAAGCAGCAGCGCTGGTAGGAGGAGGTGTTACTCTCGGAGATTCATCTTCCGAGACCACCACAAAACCTGGGCAAGATAGTTCGGTCTGGTAGAGGATGAGCTCTGTGAGGCATCAGCACGGCGCTTGGGACAGGAACGAAAATCATGTTCTTTGGAGCCACAAATGAAACAACCGGTATACCCGGGGGTCTTGTGCACTGGTGTGCCCTTTCCCTTCTGAAAGGCTGACAGGACTTGAGGGGCACTCTTCTGCTTTCCTTTGCTCTTAGAGCCTTTTCCTTTACCCTTTCCTTTCAAGAGGCCCATGGGATAGTAGCCTCTAGACTGTTGTTTGGCATGGTTCAACTGTCGGCTCTCTCGGAAGGTTCGAATGCGATCATTGAAGGTGGCATACGCATGCAAAAGCTCTTCTGAATCAGCGGGAGTGACAGCGAGACACTCTTCCAAATCCAGCCAATCCTTAGTCTCTGTCCAGGACCAGAAAGCTCCTGAAGAGTCCTGGGCATAGAAGTCGTCGTCATGCCACTGCCAGGAGAGTTCTTGTCCGTCAGGAGTCCAGGTCGTCCACGCGGTTTCGGAGGGGGTCTCATCCCATGAAGGTTGGAGTTCAGGGGGAAGACGATCACCAACCCACATGATCATGCTCTCATCCACGTCATCGAGGTCTTCAGAGGGATTGACGAGGCCCCATTGGTGGTCTTGTTCAACCCAAAAGGATCTCTGTCTCCTACTTCCGTGGTCCCGACTCCGATGCTGCTCAGCCAGCAGCAGCTCCTCCTCCTGGTCTCTCATGGCCCTTTCGACCGTGTCCAAGTCCAATTGGTTGGAAATCGCTGACAGCACTGAAAGCCTAGCGGCAGCTGGGAGACCTGAGCGGCGAAGGAGCAACCATCCAAGGATTTCGGATGGCAGGATCTGAACATCTCCATAGTCGAACTGCTCCCACTTAATGGGAGCTTCTTCTTCATCATCATCAGGCCATGTGCTGGCCTGGTCATCGCTCTTCCACTTCTTCCACTGGTCGCGGCGCCATTGCCGCCACTCTTCGGAAGACCATGTGCGGTTTTGTTCATCATCTTGAGGGAGTTCATGATAGGGCGCATTGGGATCAAAGGATTCTGGATCTTCCAGGGGCTCCTGGTGGCCAGGGTTGGTGTGCTCCTCGAATTCAGGGAAAGTCGCAAAATCATCATTGGCTCCTGCATGTGGGGTCGTGACATCTGACCTTCTCTTCGAGGAACCTGAGGTGTCAAGCTTCGAGTTGCTCATCTGGGAGGGACGTCTCGAACCTTGGGCCTTCTGCAACTGCTGTTCCCTTTGCTGGCGTTGTCGAGCCATGGCCCGCTGCAAGCGACGGTAGCTCTCTCTCAAGGCTGTGCTCCACTCCATCATGCTAGCGCCAGGTGTTCGACGAAGGCGCATGAAGAACTCTTCAAGTCGCTGTCCGACGTCAGGCACTGGCGTCTTGCACAACCGTTCTTCTAGGAAGGTCAACAAGTAAGAAGCTCCGTCAGGACGTGGAAGACGTTCATGGTCGACCTCAGCTGAGGTCACATCCCAGGCTCTTCCTGAAAGCCTGCTGGCCAGCTCTGCACCTAGAAGCTTCCGCTTTCGAGGTTCAGTTCTTTCATATTGGAGTCTCACTCTCTTCACATACTCCAACCACGAACTGGCATCGCCATTCCATGTGGCGATCTGCTCCTTCCGTTCGACCGTCGTCATGTCAAAGTCAGGAGCAAGGGCAAAGTCAAGGAGGATGAATTCAACAAGCAGCAACGACAGCCAAGCAAATGCCTTAAGCAACACCAGCAGTCGAGGAGCACCAACACTGGCAACGTAGCCTCCGGAGAGGCTCCGCTACCAATGTTGGTGCGGGTGTGACCTCAAGCTCTAAAGGCAAAAGGGTCAGGT